TGAATCAGTAGTTTTCAAAATAACAGCTACATTTTACCTTTAGTTCAATAGAGTTCACAGAACTATAATAAGATCTGGAAGATAATTCAAGATGGCGCCGTACTGTTTTCAATGGCCTATGCTCAATGGTGTATGGGCCCCAAAAAATGTTCACATTCACATTTACTTCCTCAATAGGGGCTAACGCCTCCCACCCGTGTGATGTCTGTAGCATGCATGGTGTGGAGCGTTTGGACCAATCAGAGTGAGAGCTGCTAGAACGGAGTTACCCTTTGTTCGATTATCTTCCGACTCCCACTTGGACCTCGGATTTGACATCACGTCCGAACTTGAAGCGTATCATTATGATGGGAAGTGATATGGACGCGATAAAGTACTACAGTAATACGAGTGACTGAAATTGTTTTTTAAACCATTAAAGTGTCCAAACACAATGAAAACAGTTCATATTTACACGTCACAGTGGAAGTAGTAATCTTGGATGCTGACTCAGAATTCTTGCTCTGTCTACTTCCTCTGCCACCGAGGTCCGAGTCGGACTGTCCCAAGAAAAGGGCCGTGTCACGTGTGTCGCTAAGCAACTTCCCTGGAAAACCGATTCGGAAGGATAATCAAACACAAGGTTAGCGCGGACTCAGGGCGGGGCTGGGCTAAGTCTTACAAAGCTTACTTATATGATGCGTCAAGAATTCAACAATTTAAAAAAGTTTATGTTCTGAAAATAGAAATAATCCCTACAAAATCTGACCTTTGTGAATGTTGTCGATGCCCTGTCAACTGAACACGGGCAGTTTGAATTCCCAAAAATGGACCCAAGCTCCCAGGAACTGCAGTACCTGGACCAGCCACTAGTCGGTATTGAGCCGGGACAGAGGGGAAATGCCTTATCCAGTTTTTAGTATAGATAAAACAGGATAAGATTATAGATATTATAGAGACTGACAATTGTTGAGTGTTTTTAGTTTGGGAGAACTCAACTTAAATACATGACCTTTGTGTGTTAAAAATGTGTGAATGAAAATGTAACCCCAGGTAAGTTTTTGATGAGGAAAACAACATTGTAACATAGATCAGAAAAGAGCCTTATATGGGCCCTTTAACGCACTAAAACAGCGTTATACTTGTCACTTTAATATCATACTAAGCTAATGCATTCATCAATTAGCGAGTAAAGTTGACAGTGCTAAAGTCTCCTTGTGTTAATTTGAGGTTGAAGATGTGAGCAAAACAAGAGGATGGCATTAGCGGCTGTGTGAGTGAAGGCCTGTGCAGGAGAGGAGGGGTCATGGGTGGATGCTTCCCCATTAGACTCTCAATCCCTTTCTGTTTTAGCAGCTTTAGTTAAGTGACTAGTGTTAAGATCCCATTCACAGTCAAGCTGCTATTCATCAACCCAGACTTTGCATGGCTAATGGAAGTACCCAATTATTTCTAACCAATTAGCACGAAAACAGCCTAGCAACTTGAGGATATTTTAGCATTGGCTGGTTAAAAGTTACTTATTGTGGTCCAAGAAATAAGACTTCAAGAATTTGCTATCACACCCTGTTATAAATGGTCTCCAGTGACTATTGACTTGCAGACTTTGGCCACTGCTTAATATACGCCTACAATAATTCAACACTATCTATGCACTCGTTGCCAGAAGTGTTTTGGAGCAACTAGAAAAATCAGTGAAATAGTTGTTTATTCTTTAACTGCGCTGCTAAATATCGACCTTGATATGACAAAGCGAAGGGTCTCAAGATAATAGACGAACATCTTTTGCTCCGTGGTCAAAATAAAAGATTTAAAACTTTGCTAATTGACACTTTTCGGTCCTATTTGAATAATTTGAAAAGATTTTAATTATAATATAAAAGTCAGTGACGCCGAACCATTTCCATGCACAGATCAGATTCAAAATAATGATTTCCTGCTTGGTACGACGAAAAGGCAGATGAGGATAGAGCATGGAAACGCGATTGAAGTCCGACGAGTTTGAACGGGTTCGGACAAATATTTAGAATTTATGTTTGGGCTCAGTTCGAACTTGGACACATCAGCGTTTTCTGTCTACAGTAAAACCACTCGCTTTGAGACTCTAAGTGTTCAAAAGATCAGAATACTACACTTGTACTAGTTTAAATAGGAGTCAAAACTACTGTTATTATTTGGGAAATGTGGTGCAATACTTCAGATACGTGATTTTTAAAGCAGAAAAGATTGACGATTAAGTCCACAGGAAGTAGAGTCACTATCGCTAATCTGCAGCTTCACCTCGATCCGTGCGCTGCGTGGATGTAAACAGACATATGTAAGGAACTACTCTCGCCTTTTTACTTTCAAAAAACGCTTCAAACTGGATCAATAGCGATGTTTTGTGGACTGGGGTAATTATTTACGGAGGACAAATTCTGTGGATAACTTGGATGAGATGCTGCACTTTAAATTTACCACTTGGTGAGGTGAGGAATAGTCTTTTCATTATTTTTGCTGTATCCCGAGTTTGTACTTTGCGTCTCTGTGTCCGTTAGAGGTCACACAAACAATATCCTACATGTGTCATTATACCTGTGAAAATAGTGTGATTTTAATTATGTTTTAATGCCTATCATGCTCGGGTTGGATTTGATCACTGCTTTGTCAAACGTGGACCGAGCTTGGACAGAAAAATTCGGCCTGATCCACACTCTAGTTGAGGACTATTCAACTTTTGCCCATTATAAGCTCTCCATTTTGATAATAACAAGGCTTGATTTCTTGATTCAATACTATATTTAAAAATAAAAATACTAGTTTCTTTATTAAATATTATCAAGAGTTCTTTTACTAGTTATGCTCAAGACTGTTCAGGAAAGGTCCATGGTGAAAAAAGCTTGGACACACCTACTTTAGAATAACTACAACCTACTACCTCAAAGTATTCTTACAACAACTTAAATATTACAGAAAATTAACTCTTGTGAGCTTTAAGCCAAGTTATAATGTTGTTACCTTCTCAAAAACATACCTGGAGTTGTGTTTTGTTCATTCACACATGTTTGAGTAAGAGCCTGAATAACTAAATAATGACTTACATCTTTCTTAATGTTTTATTAAAGGTTAATTAAGGTTTAGTTTAGTGTCAGACTGGACAAACATTAGAACATAAGTCATGATAAAAAGCAAAGGAATGACCACAGTAAATGTTGCATCGCTGCAGTAGTAATAGTGACTAGAAGCTGATATAATTCGATATTGTGAAATTTGCAATATCCTGAGGGAAAATGGTCAGAACCAATCAGGGCAAAAACACAGTAATGACTAACCCACTACTTTATCAGTAATAGCACAGGAAATATCACAAATTTACTGGTAATTGCTTTCGAACAAATTCGCAGTCCGTCTAACCAAAATGCACTTCCTAATGGAACCTTGCACTTTCTATATTTGTGTGTGTTTTTTGTCGGCTTGCGTCACATGAGAGAGATTGCGTTTTTACATAGCAAGAGACAACACCGGGAGGCCGAGATAGGAAGAATGTGCACGCTGCAGCTAGCCCAGGTATAAAAGATCCATCTGGCAGCTCTGGATCACAGGTAGAAATGATTTGACTTGAAAACATGAAAGCAGCGCTGAGGCAGACAGCTAAGGGAGCCCTACAAGGATGTAAAAATGTGAAAAATAGACTTGAATTGGGCTTATTAGCGATACTAAACCTACCCATGACTGAAATTTTCCACCTTTATTGCGGAATATGAGCGATTTTTGGCTAGCTGGGGTGTGCATCTTCTTCCTCAAAGGTCAATTTAACACAATGAATTATGTCACAGGGCTATTTCCTCTGTCCGTATTTGAACTTCCTGTCTATTGGCGCATCCTTTAACCTCACGCTGTGCTTTCTCTTCCCAGTCCAAATGTTTCCACTAACATTATGTGAAGCCTGACGGCGTTTCAGTCCCCCCCCACTGGTTGCGCTAATTAAATTCATTTTATTTACTCTTTAGAGATACCTCACAAGTCCGTCTGAACATTCACCGCGAGCGAGCCAGAGTTGGTGTGAATCCAAAAAGTTTATGTTACAAAAGGTGCGCTGAAATGACAGAATCTGAAAACACTTAAAACACTTAAATAAAACATATTTTTCAGACTAAATCCACTTAAGTTGTCTATTCATTTGCAGAATACAGCACCAATTACGGTAAAATGTCACTGTCATTCAAATACTTGAAATGCTGCACTATGTAGCTTTTTGATAGAATTGTCTCCATGGAGATGTTATTGTTTGGCCCAGAATTAATCTACACTATGGAATTAAACATTGCCATATTCTAATTATGTAGTTATCAGTGTTTTGTTACTCAAAAATGCAAAGAAGCAAATGCAAAGAAGCAAATGCAAAGAAGCAAATGCATTCTTACTGTGAGCAGGGTTGACCTATAACTGTAACTCAACCAACTAAATGATTAATGTCATACTGTGAAACTTGGAGGCAAAGTAAAAGCATCTCCATGTAGTGTTGAAAGCAGTTGATGGATGCTCCACCAGAAAAGTTACATAGTGCACCTTTAATTGGTAGCCGAGCCGTGTTTGATTTACAGAATTGATGCCATGACACTTCATACTGAACTGCATGGTCGATGAGTAAATAAAGGGAAAATTGAAGTATTTAAAAGGCAGTAGATCAGAGAATCTATACATTATTTGTCCTCAGTCACTGACTGCAGTTACGTGTGCAAACAAAATCAAAGTATCAGATTTTTGGATATAAAAACCAATTCAAATGACATGTAAACCACAGAATCAACATATTTCTTTCTGATTATCATCCCTCTGATTACTCACATCAGATTTAGCAGGTTGCAAGTCATTTAAATAATCTTAAAGGACCAGAAATCAAATCATGAGCACATTTTGGTGTGCGTGTAATTGTAGACATTGAGTTAACGGTAGCCTGCATGTTAACAAAGCTTCTGCTGATTCCTCCTGTCAGAAAAGAAGTCAGCTTAAGCGTTAGAGTTGTGAAACAAAGTACGTACTGTATGGGACACATTCATATTGGACTTCAAGGTATTTGTAGGTTCCAGGACAAGGGTCTGGAAACACATCCGGGCCAGCCACCACTGCACACTGCGTCCGGTTGTTACATCTGGAACACACAAGAACACACAAAAATGTTAAATACAAATAAAAGAATAATTTTTTGTTCATAAAAATACTACACAATTCTAAACCTTCTTATCTTCATTAAGATGTTATTACTTCGATTGGAATGTTGCACAGTGTGGCATTAAACTCATCTCTCACCATGTAAATAAGCCATGACCCCAGACATTTTTTCAAGGTCAAATAAAATGAGTACTTGAATGAATGCAAGATCAGTGAGTTTAATGCTATACTGCGGAATATTTGAGGCAAAACAATAATACTGAGACAAACAAGGAAAATACAACAAGATTAGAATATACTGTGTGTACTGTGACCTCTTGGGTAAGTTTGACTCACCCTTCTATGCAAGTTTTATTCATTGCACATTCTGGCTAGCACATACATACATATTAATACAGGCCACACAACCTCACATTCTCAAACATCATTTCTTGTTCAATATTTGGAAACCATGGTAAAAAACTAACTGCACATTGATTTCCCTGCAATCTGTTGTTCAAATTTCAGCAAACAATCAGGGTCGTAACAATGGTGATCATTTTAAATAATGACGCAAAACCTGTGAAACAAAATAAGCACTATGTACAGTCAATGCTATTCTTTTGTTTTTGTGGTAAGATGCAAGCCAAGGACGTGCAATTATTAAATGTACGCATTGTATAGTTATATAACATGTATGTGCATTGTTGAAAGAGACATTTTTATTTATTTTATTCGCCCTCACATAGACCATCATGCTGGTTAAAAGACGTTGGTGTCCCTCCTTGTAAGAAATGACTTTTGATATATTCAGTCAGTGTGCCTTGAGTTTGTACTTTGCCTGCCTTTACACTTTTCACTAAGGGCTACATTCTGTTCAGATTTCAAGTTTAACCCTTGTAGAGCACCTGTGTCCAACTTTTGACTTTTTTATGACCCAGTGAAGTGCTCTACCTCTTTTCTTCATCTGACATTTTTATTTGTTTTAACCAGTTTTTTTTTTTTAAATTATTATTATTCATTTAGTATTTATTGTATGCACTATGTAACTTTCCTTGTCTCCATGGAAAAGTTATTGCTTTGCCAGGATTGTTCCAGTGTATGGCCTTAAAATGTCTCTCTGGCATATGCTTCATGAAATGTAATTAATGGACTAAAATAGCTTGAAAAACCTGACCTATAACTTGGCTCAGTGGCGTCAACTGCATGTCTCCATGGAGATAGACATGTTTAATGACATTGTCGAACATACAACAAGTAGCAAGTAGTGGACCCTTCACCAGGAAAGTTACGCGGTGTAATAAAAAAAAAATTAAATGTTTTGCCCAGCCCTGACTGCCTAGCCTTAACTGATATTAAATGTGCTCATTATTATGGCATATGGACTATTATATTAAAATAATGTGCCTAACCAAATAACAAAGCAACATTTGGCAGGGGTAAATAATGACTGCAATGGCCTCTCTAATTTGGTAGAGAGATATTGAAACCCATTTCTCCAGGCCAGTGCAAATGAAGACATCTGGGTGGTTTATCAAAAATATTTTGTAATCAAGGCGGAGCAATTTTGGAGATAATTATTGTAATTGGTTAATAAATGGCATCATCAAAACCAAACAAAATCCGAAATGAAAAACCCAGGGATTTTGACACCACCTTATTTTTTCTGAGGCAGTGCATGGCTGGGGCTAGGAAGCATGGTACAGGTTGCATAGTTATTACAACATGATAGATGACTGTGGGTGGAAGCGTCTGGGGAGGGGGTGACACGCAATCAAGCCGGTTGCCAGATCAGCTACCTACGTGAAATGTGAATCTTCATTAAAAACACAATTACAGTGCGGCTGGTGTGCTCGGGTGCCATTTTGTTTTTGGCAGTCATCAATCAGAGCGGTACTTCATATGCACGGAGAGTCTCTGCGCCGCACATCATCTCAGCACTCATCTCCTAACATTAACTCTTAAGCGCTTTGACAAGTATTGATCTAATTGTGTGTTTGCGAAATGAAGGACAGGATATGAAAGTTGAGTTACGTTTCAATTTGATCTGTGATTGTTTTGGAGTGCTTGTACCTAACGTCAATTATGCAGCAGCGTAAACAAAGTAGCCACGTTTACCCAAGTCAACTGACGTATCAAAACATGTTAGATTATCCTATAAAACAATTAGAAAATATACAGGGTTACGGTATAAAGTAGTTTCTTTATAAACTATCTGTTCATTATGAATTAAGTTTCTCTTCATACTTTATTATGGCTCTTTAAGGGTGTTATTAAAGGTGTTACCAGATATTCTCAAACTAAGGCTGTGCAGTTGATGAATCTGAATTATTTATTGCTCTAACCAATCACAAAAAAATATGAAAACTAAGAAAAAAAAAAAAAAGACCACTACATCAAGGAACCAGTCTGAACTCATCCGTTCACACACCAGTGTACGCTGACACTGGGGCGAGGTGAGTTAAGTGTCTTGCCCGAAGTCAGAACAACAGCATTAAAGGGACAGTTCAGAATTTTGGACATAGGACCTCATTTCCTAGTGAGCCAGAGTGTTGGAGACGAGTGGAGACACTTTTTAAAATATTCCATCCAGTTCTTGTATTTGCAGAGGTCACTGGTGCTAGGCTAGTGCATGTCAATGGCCATAGTTATCCTGCCACTAAAAACACAAAACACTTGAAGCAAATCTATTATTATGCCAGACTGTCAATGTCAATTTCTGTGTTGATAAAATAATGTTTGAAATAAAACTAACCTTGCATCACATAATTGTTGTATGTTGAGGAACTATTTTCTCAGGAGCAGTGAAATTTTACTTTGCTGGTAAGATAGGTGCTAGGTGATATCAGTCCGCCGCTGCCAAGCATTCTGTCGGGAAGTACAACTCGCTGCTGCTGCTCAGACATAAATCCTTCAAATGCAAGGTTAGTTATACTTCTAAAATTAAAAGTCTGGCATAATAATAGATTTGCTTCAAGTGTTTTGTGGAGTGGGTAAGACTCTTTTTATTGGCAGGATAACTTTGGCCATTGACATGCACTAGCCTAGCACCAGCGACCTCTGCAAATACAAGGACTGGATGGAATATTTTTTTTAAAAACTGTCTCCACACGTCTCCAGCACTCTGGCCAACTAGGAAATCAGGTCCTATGTCCAAAATTCTGGACTGTCTCTTTAATCTGCGGGAGCTGGAATCATGGTGATCTGACCAGTCTACAAATTATATTTATATCGAGAAAGGGATTTGAACTGCCAACCTTTGGATCAGTGGACAAACGGTCTACCAACTGAGCCACTGTCACCCCATGAAAATGACTCAATATTTAATTGTTAGTTAGTGACTGTGCATAATTGTTTCATATTATCTTGATTTAAATTTTTTCATTATTTTTCTTTTCTTTTTTTTTTTTTCATAATCAAGCAGCTACTCTCTTACCACAACCAGGCACAATTTAATGTTTGGCAGTGTGGGTGAAGTGTCTTGCGCAGGGACACAACAACAGTATCACTTGGGATAAGATAAATAATTTCAGGTTACTCCCTAAAAACACACGAGTATCTTCTTTCTAAGTAACAATACTGAACAATGATGATTCTTCTATTTACACCCATTATATTTCCATAAGGTATTTAGGAATGAGCATGGCCATTTGCACTGTAAGCCCGCTGAAGGTCAAGGCTGGGTCTGACACCATGATTCATACAGCACAATTAAAGGAATCTCTACACCTTAATTAACATTGATTAGTTGCCGACTAATCAATCGAACCAGTGACGGACAAGCAAAGAAGGGGTCCTCCATCTCATTTTGAATGGAGCCCGTAATGAGATATGGTCTACTGCCTCGTTCCTATCAACTTTATGGGTTCATGAACCAAGCATGTCACCCCCTCTCCACTGCTGTTTACCCCTACTCAGCTGTCTGTGTGAGGAGTTAATTTGCTGCTAGTAAACGGCAGTCAAATGAATACGAGGTCAAGGCTATCAAATGTACAAAACAATTACAGTGATGCCGTTTCTCCCAGTTTCTCGCAAACCTTTATTTCTGTCTGGTTTGGTCTGTTTAGGTCAGAGCCTTGGTAATCAGAGGGTGCAAAGACAAGTTAAGATTAAGTGTCACTTTGTATTAGATGGATGTGAGAAGATGGTATGGTGTAGAGAGAGAGAGTGAGTAGAGGATGATAAGATAATAGAGAGATACATATGATTCGCATGACAGCGGACTTGTGATGTATGAAATATGAACGGCTTATTCAGACATTCAGATCCATTCTAGCATTAAATACATTAGCTCTGAAGGGAGTATGACTGACAAAATGACTGACAGTCTCAGTTTTTGATTCAGTTGTATTTTGTCTTTAAAAACACACATTGGCTTTCAATATTTCCTTTGTGAACATACACGACAGATGTTTGCCATTATAATTTAACACAAAAAGGGTCAGATTTATATATATATATAGATCTGGATGAAAACAAGATTCATAGCACAGTCCTACTTGACTTGCTAAAATACATGAATCAGTTATGTTGTATATTTGTTGTATTGCACTTTTTAAAATACTTTTTATTTATTCAGTTTTTCAAGTTCTGTGTAATAAAGAACAAAAACAAAACAAACAAAAAAAACAACAATAATACAAAGCTTGGGGCGCTGTTCCACTGCAACAAGGATGCGGAAGGGTGAGTCAAGTCTCTTTTGTTTGTATTTCAACCATTTTGTCCAGCGTTTGAAATGTCCTTTGAGTCACAGAAGAAAAAAAAATAAATATGGAATATATTTGTTCTATAATGTCTAGCCACTGATTGACTGACGGTGGGTCCTTTTTAAGCCAGCTTCTTGTTATTGCTTTTTTTTTATGCCAATGTTAGAATCTTAAAAATGTATCTGTCCGCTTTTTCGATCTCCTCTCCAGGCAGAAGGCCTAACAAACATATCTCCAGGTCATTGAGGACGACATAAGTCAAGATCGTATCTGTTTTTCCAAACTAATTTTGTAC